AAACAAATTTTTGTTTATATACTGTATAGTCTGCATGCTCATAAGCATTTAATCAAATTCAGGTCTTGTGTGAACAAACATAATGGCCATTGACTTATGTGTGGGTTGTGAATAATTCTTCCTGAATTTGACCTGCTTTGAGAGCTAAAAAAGATGCTGTCCTTTTTTTTTTGCTTGAGATCACACAGGCGAGTGGAGAGGCTTTTCTATTTCTAAATTTTTTGTGAATGTTGAATACAACTTTCTGCTGATAACGTGTAGGAAGCCAACCTCTCTAGGGTTTTGGTCCACTGTGACTGTCAGAATTTTTTATAGTTATCATGAATTTTCTTTTTCTTCTTTCAATGCTTCACTTTATATAATGTTCTTTGGGATTCCACCCAGGTCCCTTGAAAGAATCCTCTGTCTTTTCTTTGCTTGGCTGCTTTCTCATAAGCCAAGCATGTAAACATCTATCTCCTGAAGATATATTCCTGTTAATCACTTCTGGTGCCTCGCTTTGAACTCTTTTCCGCGAACATTCCAGTTTTTAACTGCTGTTAACAAAAGCCAGGATAAAATGTTATCATCAGTCCTTCTCCTGGCTTAAAAGACCCTTGTTATATTTATGCCCTAGATTAGCAACTGCTGCATAACATGTAATTTGCTGTTTTCTGTATCTTCACCCTCAGATCTGTTGCCAGACCACTATGACTGTACTTCTTTATTTCCAAATTTTTGTGTTGAATCAATTTTCCCTTGTTGTGAGCCAGAAACAGTTTTGAGCCAGGGGAATTTCAATTGATTTAATTTGTTGCCAATTAAAAAACTCTTAATGGCTGATTCTGGTATTGAAACCAACAAACTAATACATATTTAGAGAAACACACCTCAACTCCCTTCCAGACAGCTCTCCTCCCTGCTCCATGGTCTCCTATTGCTGCTGCATGTGACACACAATTCCTTTGGGGAGGCAACAGACCTCACCAAATAGCAGGAGATGAAGCTTTGTAGTGTGCATTGGGCAGGACTCAGAAAACCTGTGCTTTATTTCTGCAGCTGAAAAGTTCTCAGCACCACTTCTTTCTTTGCTACTGTCTCTTATCTGTAGTGAGGAAAAAGGGTGACCTGCTTCAGGCAGTACTTTAACTCTGATTGCCAAGAAGCAGTCCAAGAGGATGTGGCGTTACTGATGCAACGGAAGTGTTGGAGTCTGTCAGTCTCGTGGGAGCAGTAGGTGTTTGAAGGAGATAAAGGAGATAAAATATATCCCTGTGTAATTGTTCTATTACCTTTGCTTTCAGTTGGCTCCTGTTCCATCCCTAGCCCCAAGACTAATCAAGTAGGACCAGATATTGAACCTACATAATATGTGAGGGGTGTTTTTCCCTTTCAAAAACAGTGACTTTACAAAGGTTGTGTTGTGACATCCCTCTGGATTACTGCAGCTCATTATCTGATGTTAGAGTATGACATGTCTCTTTTCAAGGTCCTTTTTGACATGCCAGGTCACCAGGTGCTGGAGCTTCAATAACAACTGGATCTCAGTTTAAAAGTCTTTAAAGAACGGGGAGTGTGGTGTGGTATTTTTAACCCAGGTCATTTCAGTGGTCTGGACTGTGGGTAGGTTTCAAAAACCGAATAGAAGAACAGATTGCAGTGCCAGGATGGAGTCAGGGAGGCTGCAAGTGAGCAAGAAATCATTCAGACACCTTTCCTGCCAAAGTTACTACACTGTACAGTTCCACTTGGAGTATCTCTTTATCTTTGTCATATACACTGAGGTCTGGAAAATCCTTTCTTCTTCTGCAGATGGCAAACTGAAACCAAGAGAAATCAAATGAGTTGTCTGGGATCACATCAGAAATATGACCATGGTTGTGCAGGAAATACAGTGACCTAAGCACTTAATGCAAAATCCGAAGTTGGTGCTTTGAGCAGGTCATTCTCACTTCTAATACAGCCCAAATGTTCCAGCTGGGATGCTTAATTGTTGTTGCTTATCATTTTACCTTTATCAATTACTAACCTCTACACAGAAAGTGAACTACTGCAACGTGTGTTAACTATAAGGCTCATACTGCTATTTGGCATAAGAAAAAAATGAAAACTAAACTCTGGGCAGCTGGTGTCCTCTTTTCACAAATGTAAGCTCAGCATACAGTCAAATATGCTGCAAGTCAATGCAGATTTGCACATTTGCTGCAAAAAATTAAAAAGCTGGTGGAGTAATGCTAAAATTCTTTCAGGGCTGCTATAGAATCCATGATCCGTGTCACCTTGTCTGGAGATCACCTTCTAGATATTGGCCCATTATTCCCTAGGAAAAAAAAAAGGTTGGTAGGTGTTGCATCAGCCTCTGTATGAAGAGCTCCTGTTGCCTGAAGATTTGTTTGAGGCAGCTATTAATGACCCCCACAGCAAAACATACATTATCTCTTTTATGTTTCCATTTCAGCCTCTATTTTCAGTTGCTGTGGATGGCAATTTCCTTGTGCCAGCTTTTGCATGCACCTGAAGGCTCCCCAAAGCTGTTATTCCTCCTCTGTTTGTTTACAGCTGCCTAGTACTTAGTAGTTTCTTTTTTTGACTTGTGTTTAGAACCCAGAAAACTCTCCCTCAAAACTGTCCATGTACACCATTTCTCACAAGAGTGGTAGATGAAGGAAAAAAAAAAACAACAAAAAACCTCAGGGATTAATTTCAATGTACACAGAGTATAAAAACTTTATTGGAAAATACATCAAAAATAGACCACTTAATTTTTATTTAACGTCTCTAAACAGATTTACAGTACATTTTAAATAATTAACTTTAAGTCACTAGTTTTTCAAAAGCCAGAAGTAAAGATCTGGAATGAAGTTTCAGTTCAGGTTTTTCTTCCTGCCACGCTGTCACACAAAAAAACCTAAGCTATTTCTGGCAGTTCTTATTTTTAGATTGTTCTTCATATACCATTTACCGTCATTGAAATTAATGAGAAAATAAAAGGAATGACCTTTGGCTAGGCACATACAGTTTATGCATGAGCTAAACAGCAGGATCCTTTTTCATTCTTCTTTTCCCACATTCTCTTTCTCCCTGCTCTCCCCCATCCAAATATAATTTGTAAAGCCTTTAGAGCCTTTCATCATGTGTGTTTCCACTGTGTTCCTTTAGATGAATCTCAGGTCCCTGATTCACATCTATTCTCTTGTGCTGAAAGGTCAGTGGCACCCTTGTTTTATGAATATAATCCACCATTCTCCTGAACTTCAGAATCATTTCCAGAACTCCCAGGCAAAATTCATACAGCTCAGGGTGCAGACAAATGTTAGCATTATTGTAAAGAGCACTCTTCCCTACATAAATGTAAGCCTGGACATTCCAAGTCACATTGCTTAAAATAAACCAACATTTACTGAAGATCTGAATCGTTGTCCCATTGCAGACATAATTCTCAACCTGTGGCCTCACTGTAACATGGACTGTGTAGTTCATGCCCAGCTTTCTGCAGCAGGTGGACAGATACTCACTCAACGAAGCCACTGTGCCTGGATAGAGTAGAAAGTGCCCAGTGAGGTTTCCTGGGGCACCGCTGTTCCTTGCCAGGAGGAAACGCTGCCAGCTGTGCCTGGTTTGCAGGGTGGGTCGGATACATTCTCATGATCGATTGCCGCTTGAAAGATTTTCAGTGCAGCAATTTCAGAATCCTTAGTTGGAAACAGTGAGGCTCGAGTGTTGCCTCTGAACTGTGAGGGTGAAAGTTTGTTTCCTGGCTGAGGGGAGGGAGTCGAGCAGAGGTATGGTATGACCAAGAAAGTCCCATTTGTGCTAGCTGGAAAAGAGGTATCCAACCATGTAGACAGGGAACACCATGGTTTTCCAGTACTTGTGGCAATCATTGCTAACAAAAATGAGAACTGATAGGTGTTTGGGTTAAGGGAAATGCTTTTGTGACAGGGTAAGACACCAATGCGATAGTAAATCCAGTTTGTAATTGTTTATGGAATTTTAGGGGGTTTTTGGTTTGTTTTTTTGGTGGTTTTTTTTGTTTTTTTTTTTTGTTCCAAGTGTACGGTTGTACCTCTGCATTCTAGTGTTTAAGTATTTATTGCTTCTTTAATCTTTGTGTTAATAATCCTGGCTGTAATTTGCATGCACCTTTCAGCTGGTATTTTAAAACACTGATTACTGAAAAACTTGTGGTAAATTTTTATATTATCATTGTTTGCCACGAGTATTCATAGAGAATTACAGCATCACAGAATGGGTAAGGTTGGACGGGTCATCTGGGCCAACCTCTCTGCTCAAGCAGGGTTATCCTAGAGCACCAGGCACAGGATTGTGTTCAGATGGTTCTTGAGTATCTCCAGAGAAACTCCAAATCCTCTGGGTAACTGGATCCCATGCACGGTCACTGCACAGTGAAGAAGTTCTTATGTTCGGGTGGAACTTCCTGTGCATCGCTTTCTGGTGCCTCTTGTCCTATTGCACAGCACCACCGTGAAGAGCCTGACCCATCCTCTTAGCACACACACTCTCCCTCCCCGTTTAAATATTTATACGCATTAATGAAGTCCCCTCTCGGTCACTCTTCTCGAGGCTGAAATTCATCTGCTGGCCATGACTGATGCCGCCTATTTACTTTCACTTGCGGAGAAGTTCGTGAATAGTGAGGCCCCGCGCTGTCCTTGCGCGTCGTGGGAGTTTTATTCGTGCGTGGCAAGCGGGGTACACGTAAATCATGTGCCCGGGGCCGAAGCCAATCGCTGGGGCCGGGGGACCGCCCTCGGCCCCTCACAACTGCCCGGGGCCGGCACCGAGATCCCCGGCCCCACACAGCGCTGCGGCAGCGACGCCTCCGGCGGCCTCGCCCCGGCCCCGTCCCCGTCCCGCCGCTCCCGCCCGGCGGCGCCCCCGGCCCCGAGCCCAGCCCGGGGCGGGCCGGGGGCGGTGCTGGCGCGCGGGGCGGGGCGCGAGGCGTGTCCGCGGGAGGGCGGCGGTGCCACGGCCGCCACCGGCCCCAGCCCCTCCTCGGCCTCCGCCGCGGCCGCACCAGGTAAGGCGCCGCCGTCGCCTCCCCTCAGCGGCACCTGCGCGGGGCGGCGGGGGACCACGGGGAGTTTCGTGCCGAGGGGTGCCGGGGAGGGAGGGGTGCGGCCGCCGCGGTGCCCCACCCGCTGCTCTGTCGCCTCGGGTCCCGGCGCCGAGCCCCGGCTGCGGGTGGGCCCCTCCTGGCGGCGCGGGGACCGCAGCCAGGCCGGCCCCGCTCCCTGGAGCCCGCCTGGCGTGCGCCGGGACCCGCTCCGGCAGCGCCCGGGAGCCGCTCGCCGCCGCTCCCCCTCGGCCGCCGCTCCGGAGCCGAAGCGGGGCTGGGCTGGGCTGCTCAAGGCTATTCGGTAACAGCCTCGGCCATGAATGATTAACTGCGCGCCCGGGGAGCCGAGTGTCGCCGAGCGTGGCCGTCCGTGCCCGGCGCGCTGAGCCTGCGGAGCGTTCGGTCCCGAACGGCCGCCGGGGGCTCCGGCACGGCTGTGAGCGCTGCTGCCGGCGCTGCCACACCGCAAGGTAGGCACGGAGCTTGCTGTGCCTCGGCTGCTCTTTCGGTATAAATCCACCCGTTTGGCGTTCTTCTTTATCTCTGCCAAGATAAAAGACCGCCAAGATGATGGGGTTGGTTTTTTTGTTATTGATTTTGTGTTTGGTTTAGGGTTTGTTGGGTTTTTTAAGTCTTTGTTGTCTTTTTTGCTATGCATAAAAAAAAATTAGTAGGTATGGAATTCGTTGATAAGCAGTGGCAGCTGGCAGTACTCTTTTATTCTCTATCAGAACGCAATGCCTCCTTTGTTGAGCTGTAAATTAATAGTGTAAGCTCCTTCCCCACCCTTAGTCTCATCACTTGGAGATGTGAATCACTTGTACTACCAGATTTGTTTTCTTTAGGAGAACTAAGAGGCACCACAGAAAATCCATCTGTTTTATTCCAGGTCACATTCCACTGGATTGATTTGGTTGATTTCAGCTTGAAAATGTGCTTCAAGGCAACTAATGATCTTCTGTGGAAATTTAGTTTTGTTAACCTTTAAATTTGAATTACCAGTATATGTAAGAGGCATTTTTCTTCTGTTCCTTTGAGCCCTTGATGCAGTTATAAAGTATTTTCCAAAACATGATGATTCAAGAAGGTAAACTAAAAACTTTCTATACAGAAAGAGGAAAAGGCTGCTGCACGTAGAATATCAGGTTAGCTAGGAATGTATTTGCACTGTCCATGAAAGAAATCCTGGATGGCAACCTGTTGAATGCCACTAACTAGTGTCTTCAAGCTGCTGTGAGCAGGCCACTGTGCCCTTGCCACAGTTGTTTCTGTGAATGCACTCAAACCGTGCAAATGCAGAATGATTTCCAGGTCAGAACAGGTTGATGAATTTAGTGAGGCGCCATCACAAACTGCTGGAGCTGAACACTGCTACTAGGCTGTGAGTGTTCTCCCACTAATTGTGCTAGGGAAGTGGAAGGAGTTTGGCCCTTTGAGAACAGCAGGATCTGTTAAATGTAATGAGACACTAATCAAGATAAGGCTTGTACTGTGTCAGGTGCTGTATAACTGTGTAAGGAGGTAAGGTCACAACTCCGGGAAATTTACCGCATAAAAGAGTACTATGATTAAGATGAATTAAACTAAGTACCCTTCAAAATGTCCTCAGGGTTATCCTTAAGTGAAGGGTCTGTTTCCACAGCCCTTATGCCCAGGCAGATGCCTGAGAAGAAATGTGCTTGAAAATTATTGTGTTGTCTGACAAACAGTAATGAGCCTAAAAATTGAACACAAGCATCTTTCTGTGTTGAGAGAAGTGTGGTTCTGAATGTGGATCAGTTATTCTTATCTAGTCCTTCTTGCTCTAACAAACGGAAACAAGGCTATGTCAGGACACCTTCTTGCTGTTTCCCAAATTTTAAGGAAATGTTTGTCTGGAACTGAAATTGATTCAGGCTTATTTTTAAGAGAAAGTACAAAGTTCCCAGTGGCCTACAATGTGTTTTATATTTTCTTCAAGTTTTGCCCCCAGCAATCATGGGCGTACCAAACCTGTGCCTGTCAGCAGTTGTAGACAGCCTGTATTTGGTATTAATTCCCATAAACTTATATTTGAGAACCTTTTCACCCACATTCATGGCATCTGTTGTCATTTTAAAGGACTGTGTTTCCTGGTGTGTTCTCGGAGGCCACGTCCTAGAGGTCTTTAGATACTGTTAGCAGTATTAGTCATGCAGAATACAAAAAAACCCACCTCAGTTATGTTCTCAGAACAATCTGCTGTGGTACTTTACAAATCTAAAGGAAAGGTCAAACTCCAGTTTTCACTGTGCACTGGAGGATAAAAGTAAAGCTGTGTAATGACTTGGAGCAGAACACCAAAGGGCAGTGAGACTTTGCACGAAGAGCTAGGGAAGAAAAAAACAGTTTACTGTTAATTGTAGTTGATTTGTAGCTAGTATCACAGATTTTATTGTCCACATTACTCTTGAGAAATACGGCTCCTGTCTGGTGCTACTCTCTCCTCTGTGTTTTTCTGCACTGTTCTAATGCTTCAGTTTCTCTGTTCCTTCTGCTTTCCTTCTTCAAATGCTTCACCAGCTTTCTCACAGTTTTCTTCTTCTAGTATAAAAAGAAACAGTAGTGGTGTACCTTTATTTTAGACTGGGCACCTTCTCCTGTTAAAAGTTGTTTGAAAGCATTGCTCCATATCATTATTGAATCAAAGAATTTGGATCCTGAATTTCACTGAGATTAACAGGGGGCTTTGCACGTCACACCTCTATGCCCTGGGGGTTTCTGAGCACCTTGAGCTTCAATACGTGCGGCATTGTTTAGCTTCTACTTTGCATTGGCAAGAGTCTCATTACAATCCTCAGAACAGTAAGCTCTTGTTTTGAAGAGTATGAGGTGAGGGGGTGTGTAGTTACCTTGGGGGTGTATTTGTCATGGCAGGACTTTCACTTCCGATGTATATATGGGAGTGGCGTCGTGGCTGCTTCCTACAGCAAAAATATTGGCCCTTGTACAGTCTTGTAGCATTCCAAGGACCAGCTCCTTGCCTGAGGTAATTTGATAAGGTGGTCAGAAGAGCTAAATGTAACTGCCACCTTGACCAATGGTGTGTGCAAAATACATTGTTTGGTTTCGGTGCCATTGTGGGGGCACAAGGAATATAAATTTTGGGATGTGGCAAGGAGCTGGGGAGTGAAAACTGACACTTTTGACTGTTCAGTTTCATATGTGGGTGGAACATACCAGGAAGAGGGCAAACCTGTCAGCTGTAACTCTTTTTTCTGAATGGAAGTGCAGTAATTCCCTAGTTCTGGGTATGGGTTAGAAGAAATCTATTTTAAGTTGTTAGCTTCCACCGTCATTCCTGCTGAAAGTTTGTCCATGTGAAGCTTGTTTGGAAACTGTAGTGAAATCATGTGTGCAAGTCCCATTTTGAATGTGTGTGTGCCTTTGCGTGTAAAGTCTGGGCACTGAAGTGTCTTTGGGGTAGGCAGAGAAGTAAAACATTTTTTTCTTCTGGGAAATTGTTGGCAGATGTAATTAACTTTTTTTTTTGTGAGGGACTTCAGAAACAGACTTCAAAATTAGAGTCTAATACTGGTTTCTCAGTATAAAAGAAGTCTTTTTCTTGAATTGGCCATCTTATATTTTATGGGTAATGCCAAATTTGGTCAATTACTGAAGTGATTATTAAGCAACAGTGACAATGGTTTCACTTATTATCCCAGAACAATTACACTTTTACTAGATGTTGTACCAGAAAAAGCTCCTGATGATTTTCTGTTTATACAATAGTGCTGCAGACCCTAATTAGGGTTTGGGAATAAAGTCAAAACTCTGCAAGTGTTTTAAGCTTCTCTTGTAAAACAACAATAATATAGAATGCCAGCCCATCTTTTTATAATACAAAAGAGACTAAAAATATGCTCTGCATGTACATAGCAGGAAAGGATTGTGGCATAACATTTTCAAAGCTTGTTCTTTTCTTGGTTTGCTTTTAACTGAAGCTCTGCAGTTTCTTCAAAAGCTGTGAGTTACAAATGAATCTGCAATACTTTGTGACTCCTTGTCCTTTCCTCCAGACAAAAGGCCCTTTCAAACCATTGTGGAACAGTCACTGATTTTCATGTGGTCATTCAAGAAAAGGATAGCAATTGGCCTTCATAATAGGCCTTTCAGTACTCTCTGGAGTGGTTTGCTAGCTGAAAAAAATGCCTATGGTAGTGTACTGTGTCCAGTATTTAAATTGCTGACGAATCTAATCTCCCAAGTGTTGGAAAGATAAAGAGTTCAAATGGCAAAGAAGCCTCACCTGTTTGTGAATACCAGTGTGCTGCTACTCGGAGTTGGGGACAGATTTTGGTATGTGTGAACTTGTGCAGTTTTATTTGATTTTCTTTGACTGAAGGACTGTACTATTTCCTTTTTTTTCTTTTTTCTTTCTTTTTTTTTTTTTTTAATTTGAGTGGCAACTTAAGCCTGATGCTGCCATGAACTGTGTTTCTGAGAGGGTTGATGCTGTTTAATGTCCTGGGTGGAGTTGAGCAATGTTATCTGTTTGTGCTGTGCATAGCCAAGTGAACTGTGAGCATGATTTCTTGCAAGGTGACTAGCCTTGAAGGTTGTGGGTGTGTTTTGAGTTGGCATTCAAGAAGCTGCTGCCGCTGTTGCATTGACAGTTCAGTCTCACGGAGTTATCTTTCTGTGCTGGGAAATCAAATCTGCCTGGCAGCATTTCAAAATAAACAGTTTGTGTTTGGGGTAGGTACACTGGTGTTTGTTGGCCCAACCTTGTGTAAAATCAATGCAAGAATTTATGGTGCTTGACTGACTCTTACCTGGAACACCACCAAAAGATATTGTTGGTGCTGTGAGACATTTCCAGATGAAGATAGCTCTTCAGGATCTGGCTGATTTTCTTAGAAATGTGTGCAGTACTTGCCCTGAAGGTTCAACCATGGAGTGTCTGCTTGAATGCTGAGGGTCACACCTGGCTTTCATTGCAG